GTTCAAAAAAATTAGAAATTATTTTTTCTCCAAGATGACAAGAAAAACAAAATAAATTATAACAAATAAGAAGGGAAGAAAAATTAGGAATTAACTGGAAGGGGGGAAGGTCTGTCTAAACATTCAAGTTTTCAGTTGTTTCTTAAAAATACCCAGCGAGGGAGCCACTCGAATCTCCAAAGGTAAGTTGTTCCAGAGGCGAGGAGCCACCGCCGAGAAGGCCCAGTTTCTTGTTTTTTCCTTCTGGGCCTCCCTCAGCGTCAGGCTCTTCACCTCCTGACTCACGCGAGTGACACGGGTAGAACTAGGTGGGAGTAAACGTTCCGCCAAGTATCGAGGTCCTAAACCTTTTAGGGCTTTATACGTAAGCATCAAGACTTTGAAGTCAACGCAGAACCGAATGGGCAGCCAATGTAACATGGCCAGAATAAGAGAAATGTGATGGTGTTTTCTCGCTCCGCTAAGGAATCTGGCCGCCGCATTCTGCACGGCCAGAATAAGAGAAATGTGATGGTGTTTTCTCGCTCCGCTAAGGAATCTGGCCACCGCATTCTGCACCACTTGGAGTTTCCGCATCAACTTCAAAGGCAGCCCCACGTAGAGCACATTGCAGTAGTCTAATCTCGATATTATGAGCACATGTACCAAGGTGGTGAGCGCCCCCACATCAAGATAGTTTGTGTTCATTCACAGGAGCGCAGCACCGAGAAAGTTTGAAGCCGATCAAAGTGCTAGAAGCAAATCACAGAAGACTGATGTCACAGGATATGCTTAGCCTAGGGGACAAGGAAGGGAAGGGTCAATGGGCTAATAGGATCAAATAGGAAGAGGATACAGGAACATGGTACCGGCACGGTTGCTACTCTGTACTAATTTGAATCAGAGGTGTGGGGGAGTTTCATTTCAGTTTGTTTTTAAGAAAAATTAATGAAAATTCACAAATGTCTTCATATTCAGGAAGGAGAAAATTTAAGATGTAAGATATCTTAAAAAGGGGGGGGTGAAGCTGAAATCGACAGATCCATCAGCTGAGGCACAGAACTCTGAGTATCCAAGTTTTAAAAATCTGGATTTAACTTGTGTATTCAGTCACATTAGTGCCTTATTATTTATTTATTTAATTAATTTATTTATATGCCGCCCACACTACCCAATTAGGGTATCTACCTCTTTCTTTTTCCTTGTCTAGACTCCTATTATTTTTACAGCTATATATGGTAGTTAGGTACAACGGGTTCTCTTCTCTCCATGGCTGAAGTAGTTATACC